AATAACATTTAAAAATAATTATATTAAAAGAATTATATTATTATATTAGTTCGTATAAACTAAAAAACTTGGTAATATTAAGTTGCTGAAAGACACGCTGTACTTAAAAAATTATTTATGATATTCAGTGGAATCTCTATAACTCGAACCTCGTTAAGTTGAAATCCTCAGTAAGTTGAAAAAAATTGCCATTCCCTTCCGCTGAACCCCTAAATACGCGGTATCTCGAATTATTAGACTTTGTAACTCGAACAAAATGTTATTTCCCTACGAAATATTATTAATAGTTATACTCTATAACTCGAATTTCAAAAAGGAGACTCCGTAAGTCGGAGTTAGTAAACAATAAAGACGTCTTACTCGGAATTCCCCGAAATAATAGCAATAAAATCCGGGTTCTTAATCGTAAAGTAGCTGCCGCGTCACCTGCCGAGCGTCGGCCGAGCTCGGCGGGTGACGCGGCAGCTATGCGTATCGTGAAATTTTCAACTATAACGCCCGGTAGTCAAACATGAAACAAAAGTTTTGGAAAATAAACTGATCTTTCAAAATAAATTTATGCATTTTATTGATTAATCTAATATTTCAAGAGTTATTGGCCGCGATAGAAAAACCGGTTCATTAAATGGGCCATAAATCGTAAACGGTAAGTTTTACAAAAAAGTTTGCTAAAAACAAAAGATGCAAAATTTTATTTTCTACAGTAATGGTTTGTATAACTTTTGCCTTAAAGTGCATTATTTCCCAGATATCGGCTGAAAACGTTTTTTTCAAGGTGGTGCTTAAAGCGCCACCTGTGCGGAAATTGTGCTGATTTGTAGGTGTAACTTTGGTGCTCTGTTACATGATCTCACAAAACTTTTCAGTGCCTTTTTTATTTATAATAACTAGAAGACTCTATTGTTATGTTGATTGACTAAACAAGTGGGATTTTTTTTAGATTTTTATGCAAAAAGAAGTTAACTACCGTGAAATCCTCCAACTTTGGCCTCTAAGGTGTAACATTGGCCAAAACCATTAAATACTTAATTAGCTCTTAGCATGGGAATGGTGTAAAATAGTTAAATTTCAAAGTCAGTAGTAGAAAATACATTATATTTCTGGCAACACTCATTGACGTTTGTTTGCTTACGTCAATTAGTCGGCTGTCAGTCGTGATCAGTGTTGCCATATATACAGATTTCCCCGTATTTATACAGATTTTCGGTGTGTAATACAGATTAGCACATTTTATACAGAGTTTTCCAACTCTATTGATTGGCTTACCATAATATTCAACTTAAAACAGAACGAAGCAAAATAAGTGACTAGACACCGCGTTACACGCATCATTGCATAATTCTATTCTTTATGGTTAATTTATTTTTTCACAACGTAATTAGTTAGTATGGCAGAATTACAAGTGTATTATAAAATATGTATGACTGAAAATAATAAAGTAATTATATGTTCGTTTGTTGCAAATGTTTGAGTTTCAATACGTTGTTTACTTAAATTAATGTTTTCAATTTTGTCATATAAACATTTTTGTGTATAGTATATAAATACTTGGTAGAGCCACGCTGTAGCTATATTATGGTTGCAGCACGAATGAGTCAGCTCGATCGGGGACGGACCACGCTCTCACAGAATACCAGCGTAAAATACCAGCTTAATACTGCTTCGTATGGTGAGTGTAGAAATCCGGAAACCCTTTTTTACTGAAAACGAGTATTCCATCTTAGTCCTCAGGTGTGACAACGCATTTGCGTTTTGATTCTTAAGCGAGGATAAATGTAGATGTCTATGGGTCACAGCATCCACTTACTATCGGTGTACTATGTGCTCGTTTGTCACTCTTATTCTATAAAAAATATTTTTATTTAATAACGACAAGTAATCAAACTTTATCAGCTTATCATGTTAGTAGTTATTCCTTCAAAAGAAGCAATGATGATGATGATAAATTATTCTATTTTGGTTTGTTATATTATACAGATTTTAAATTTAAATAGCATACAGATTTAATACAGATTTTAGCAGTTTCTAATACAGATAAAAGGTTCAAGGCATCTGGCAACATTGGTCGTGATCAAATTGTCATCACCTGAAGTGCGGACCAATTTTTGCTTTTGAATTTTTTGTGATATCCTGTTAAAATGAAGCCTAGGTGAGTAGTTCTTGAATATGTTATAAAGTGATGTCAGGAAAACGTTCTGATATGCTAAATAACTAAGGATCGGTGTTTTTGTACGAGAAATAAAAGCGACCAATGTTACAATCAGATTCTTCGTATCTTGGGTGTAAACATTGGCCGCTAACAAAGAGCACTAGGGCTGCCACCTTCTAGTAAAGTAACGTAATATATATCTACGTTATTTTATATATCTTCACTAACTTTTCGTTACATACGTTTCGTTATAATAGTTATTAAAATACGTATGGGTTAGTTTTACCTACATTATAGTATAAATGACAATTGGTAGTTCGGTAGTATGATGAATTGTATTACAAGTTTTTGCTGAATTCACCTATCCATTACATTTACGTGTAATTAGTGTTTTTGAAGTAATTACAGCTATATAAATAATTAAATGTGTGTTATTTTTAATTTATTTCAGCATCAAAGGAAAAACAAAACCTAGACAGAAACAAAGGAAAAGACGTCGGTGTCTTGGGGCCCGTGAATACAAAAAGTATAGCCAAGAAATGCTTCAACTAGCAGTTGAGTTAGTAGAAAATGGTCAGTTAACGGCACGAGCTGCTGCACGACAGTTTTCCATACCTAAACAGACCATATTAAACAAAATCCACAACAAACATAACGTCTAACGGAGGAAGAAGAGTCTAAAATAGTAAACGTACTGATTGCCGCTGCAAAATTTGGTTGTCCTCTTACAAAATTAGACCTACGTCTCGTAGTTTTCGAATATTTAAAAAAAATGGTCGACAGGACTTGTTTAAAGGTCAACCTCCAGGAAAAGCTTGGGTGGATAATTTTTTGTTGCGTAACGCTGCCGATTTGACCGTACGCATTACCCAAAATATCAAAAAAGTCCGAGCGGAAAAAGGTGTTGATGAATTAATGGAATATTTTGAAAATTTACGTGAAACCATTAAAGATGTTCCGGCATCAAATATATTGAATTTCGACGAGACCAACTTAAGTGACAATCCGGGAAATTCCAAGTGCATATTCAAGAGAGGGGAACCCGAAAGGTTTATCTACAAAGGGGGCCATATCAATCATGTTCTCTGGAACAGCGGCTGGTGAAATCTTACCAGTCTACGTTGTTTACAAAGCCGACAACTTATACTCGGAGTGGATACAGGGCGGGCCTCGTCATACCAGATATAATCACACCAAGTCAGGCTGGTTTGATTCTCAAACTTTTGAGGATTACTTTAAACGAATCGTCCTGGATTGGGCAAGTGGTTTGCCCGGGAAAAAAGTTGTTATTTGCGACAATCTATCGAGCCACTAAGTGTAAATATTATCGAGCTCTGCGAGTCATGATATTCAGTTCGTTTTAATACCTGCAAACTCGACACATTTGACGCAGTCACTCGATGTGGCATTTTTTGGACCGCTTAAGAAAATACCTTCGTACGAAATACGGTAATTTGTCTAACTTGGGCTGAAATAAATAAAGTCGGACGGAGTCATACTCAAGGCATGTGAATACGGTGCTTGGTCGAGAACGAATGTATGGCTTCTAACGAATCGAAAAGTTTGAAGTTGTAATTTTAATCGCTAAAAACTCACTATAATGACGCTGTGTGTGAGAACTTTTGTTGCATTATCATGGTGCAGCATCCATGAGTTGTGTTGCCACAAATCTGGACGTTTTCGGCGGATACTCTCACGCAAACGCTTCATGACGCCTAAATAATATTCTTTATTCACTGTTTCTCCCTTTGGAAGGAATTCGGAGAGAACCACACCACGGTAGTCAAAAAAAACTGTCAGCATCACCTTAATTTTGGAGCGACTTTGCCGCGGTTTTTTGGGTTTCGGCTCGTTTTCGAGACGCCATTCTGAAGACTGTTGGCTTGTTTGCATGTCGTACTCATAAACCCATGTCTCGTCGCCAGTTATTATACGTTTCATAAAGGTCGGATCCGTAGAAGCTCGGGAAACCATGTCTTCAGCGACATGCTTTCGCTGCGCTCTTTGAACAAAATTGAGCTCTTTTGGAACTAGTCGAGCGGCGACGCGTTTCATGCCTAAAATGTCAATGAGAATGTTGTGGACGGACTTAAAAGATATGTTCACCTCACTAGCCAACTCTCTCAGACTCATACGTCGATTTTCGAGCACCAGCTTCTTGATTTTGTCGATGTTTTCTTTGGTCGTAGCGGTTGAAGGTCTACCAGAACGAGGCAAGTCTACTACTACTTCTCGGCCTTCTTTAAAAGCCTTATACCATTCATAAGCTCTTGTTTTCGATATACACGATTCGCCGTAGGTATTTCGCAACATTTTTAGTGATTCACCACATGAAATATCATTCGAAACACAAAATTTAAGGCACACTCTTTGTTCAACAATATTTTCCATTGTAAAAATCGCCGAGAACTCAAAACTATGACCAACAAAAAGTGTAGTTTAAAACAAATTAAATGACAGATCCCGCTCAAACTTTGCGCGCTAAATCAGTACAGTGCTACCAACATGCAGTAAAAAAATTAGAACGACCTCTTTTACGCGGGTCTTTTTATTGACATATTCCCGATACTTTTTACACAGAGTAGTATGGCGAAAAATTTTACTTCAATATAAAATTGAAAATCCAAATCAATCGACACTTAATAAAAACCACTTTCCAAAGTTATTGAAGTCTTTGACTGATCAGATCCAGCTAACAGAGTTAAAGAATATCAAAAGCGGTTTTAAAGCTTCTGGAATCAGCCCTTTCAACCCTCGTGAGGTGATAAAACGGATACCTGAATATCACGAAGAGTTACAGTCTTATACAATAGACGAGACCCTGCTCGAATATTTAAAAAACTAGCCCAGATTGAAACGAAATAAAAAAGTTGTTACTGAACCAGGAAAATCAGTGACAGTCGATGACTTTCTACGACAGGAAACAAATGCGTCAACTTCATCAGTAGCTAGCGTACAAGGCAGAGCCAAGACTTCGAAAAATTACAAACTCAATGCGAAAATATATAAAAAATCTGGCAACTGTCAAAAACTGGTCGACAATGGTGAAAATAATAGATACAAGATGGATATGATTGAAGATGAACGAATAAAATGTATGGAAGGGACTGAAAATGGAAATCTCGTAGATAACTTTAACATGGATATGACGCAATCTCTCAAAGATATGTATGAAGACGAAATGGAGCTCATAGAAAAGATCAAAAACGAAGATTTTACAGATGCAATTGATTTGAAAAATCTTCAAGATTCATTGAAAGATGACGTCAAGGAAATAAGCACGCTTTTAGATAAAAAAACGGGACTTTTAAAAATTAAGAAGCAGACGAAATTACCTGGAAATAATAATAATGAAAATAAGATAAAAGTTCTTTCGACAGTGACTTTAAATCTACCATCAACGTCAACCGGAAAGACAAATACATTAGGTTTGTTTTTTAGACCACACGTCCTATATTCAGACAGTAACGAAAAATTGCAAAATAAAGATAAAGAGAACGTGCTGGAAGAAATAGAGTTAAACATAAAAAATGAAAAGAAAGAAAGAAAATGTATTAACAAACCAGTCAAATATAAGGATTGCGAAACAACAGAGAAACTAGTAACGACAGTAGAAAACAAAGATTTATTACAAAAAGTGAAACCAATAAAAACAAGCAAAAAAGAGAACAAAAGAGGTAATAATAGTAAAAAACAAAAAAGATCTAAAAGACTAACTCGAAACAGCAGTGGCAGTGACACCGACGTTTCCGAGAATATTTCATATAGAGAATCATCAGATAGTAGCGAAAGATACGTTCCCGAAGATGTTGATAAAGACGTCGAAATGTGTACAACAGAATTTAATGAAAACAATAAAACTATGTCCGTAGAAAATGAAGAATTATTGGACCATCATATTCAACATGAAGTGCACGTTGACAAATACGTTTTGGTCAAATTTATAACTGAAAAGAGTACTAAATATTATGTAGGAAAGGTAACAAAAATCGATGGAATCTTTGTGTCCCATAAATTTTTTAAGAAAGAAGAATAACAACTCTTTTTTTCTGGCCTCAAGTAAAAGATGAGGCAGAAATGTATTTATTTGATATCGTAAAAGTATTACCTCAACCAAATGATAACAGTAGGGGTTCATTAGCATTTGAAGTTGATTTCAGTGGTTTAAAAGTACTTTGAGGGACTTTAGGTACACTACCATAAACACCTCCAACGTTTTATGATCTCGTAAAATAAAACTTAAGACTAATTTTATATAAATATTAACTATGTCGATTCTTAGCCAACTTTTATCTGGTAGTGAGTTTTTGAAAGGTCAATAATTAAATTCAGATATAAATAGTACGTAATTCATTGTTATGAAACATTTACCTAAGTGCCAGGTAAATATAATATATCTAAAAAAAACTCATCATTAATAATTTGTCAATGTTATTATTAAAAAATACTCAATGTGAGCTTTGTAAATTCACATGGCTAATTAAAGTGTTTATGCCACTGTTGAATATAGCTTTCTGTAAAGAACACCGCTCAAACGACTTCTGGAGCCGACGCGCAGGTGCTCTCTCTCTCTCTCTCTCTCTCTCTCTCTCTCTCTCTTCTCTCTCTCTCTCTCTCAAGCTTTATTCAACCATCTATTGCAGTAATAAAGATCTAAGTAGGCAGTCTAGAATTAATATTTTCTCAGTAGGTATTTTCGAATCGTGCTGTCAGGTCAGCTTTGCTGAGACCAAAGCCTTGATGCCAAAATGTAAGATATAAGTAATTAAGTCACAAATTAGTTTCTTCATCATTAACTCATTATTTATCTACTATCTTTAATTTTGATTTTTTATAGTCGCTATGGTTGTGCAATTCGTATAGATTTAATGTATGGTTCTCAGAGTAAGTACCTTCAATATTCGTTTTCAGAACCAAATGTTATTGAGCCTGATTCTTGATGCCAAAATTTAGTAGTAGGTAGTTAAGTTTTAAGTTCGCTTTTCACATTATACCCACACTAATTTTGATTTTGTAGTCGCTAAGAGCACGCAGTTCAACGAACTATCTTGATTTTTAATAAAATATTTTTCAAAAACTTGCAACCTCCCCACCAAACAAACATAATCATAAAAAACAAACACAAAATAACTTATAAACTCACCAAAACAAACAAATTAAAAACAAAAGGCTGACTAAGCATATTAGCCTCCTTTTTTCTACGCACCCTATGTTTTAATTTTTTAAATTTATTTGTGTCAACCCTTGTTGCGTCTAAAATCAGTTGTATGCAAACTTGCAAAAAGTAACGGGTAACATTAGCCACAGTAATAAAAAGCTAAAATGGCCACTTTTGGAAATTAATTTTATATAGATGCCATCTTTAGCCGGTTTTCTACTACAGCTCTTAAGAAGCATGCGAAATAAGGCTTAAAGTTCAGTCGAAATAAACAGTGGACAATGTTTACAGAAAGTGGACCTAAACTTTGGCCGGTCTTTAAAATTACTTTTAAACTACAAAATCAACTATTTTTTACAGATTTTTTGTGTTTTAGTTATAGTAATGCATATAAACTTCACTTGCACGTCATAAAATCAATACTATTTCCTATATTTTTTTGGTGTGGTAACCAATTTTCTAAAAAATGTGGAATTTAGTAAAGGATTTCACGGTACCTTAACTTGTAATTTTTTAAAGAAAATTTAGATACTTTGTAATTTCAATAAAAAATAACGCTTTTTGTACTTAATGCTTGTATTTTATATACTAATCTTGCTGAATGAGTACTATTATTAATATATCTTAAGCATAAATGCTAATTACATAATTATAGTATAAAAAATTGAACATCAAAATTTTGGGTATCTCCTACCCGCCGGGTTAAATTCTGTTTTTACTGTACTATTTCATTAAACTAGCTAGCGCTAGCGCTCACGTGACCTTCATACAAATAATTCGATATTTTAATTGTTGATAATTTTTATTTTTGGATAAGAACATGGTAATGTCACGTCAGTATATTGGACCTAGTCAGACCTATGGTCAAGCCAAAGAGTATAGTAGGTTTGGCCAAACAATTTTTTTTTAAATGAAGTTTATATATAGTTAATAACTCTTGAAATATTAAATTAATCAATAAAATGCAAAAATTTATTTTGAAAGATCAGTTTATTTTCCAAAACTTTTGTTTGAAACTTTTTTTTCTAATGTCCATACTTTTTGAGTTATAGGACGTTTCATGTTTGACTACCTGGCGTTATAGTTGAAAATTTCACGATATGAATAGCTGCCGCGCCACACGCCGAGCTCGGCCGACGCTCTTTACGATAACACGGATTTTATTGCTATTATTTCGAGGAATTCCAAGTAAGACGTCATTATTGTTTACTACTTACAGTCGATCTCACTCAGTCTCATGCGCGTTGATAATGCTCTCGCGCTACCACTCACAGAGATATTAAAATTTAGTTTAGGGGATGATTGGCCGCTGGGATCGGTCTGTCTTCTTGTCAAAGGTTTTAAAATAGTTGTCGGGTGAACATATATAAAAATGGAGCATCAGAATTTACGTGAAGTTAACTAATTATTTTGAGAGCTTTAAAGTATCTACAAAGCAATATGGCCAACGGAAAGTGTCTGGGAGTATTGACAACTTATTTTTAAATATACATTCTAAAACAATTATGAAAATCAGTCATGAGAATTTACGTGAAGTCAGTAATGTTTTTATGTACCTTGATCACCTGATACCTGGAAATTGGCCGTTTGATCAAGCTAGCAGGTAGGCATACGATCGTAGTACATACTAACACTACTCAATCGTTCACATTTCATCCGTCAGAAAATACGTGACGTCTGGCGGCCCTGGGATCTTGCTCTATAAAATACAACCTAGGATAAAGTACAAAATTAACAAGTTAAGAATTGCAGTTGCATGAATAAATACTTCAATTGTTTCACTTTGTTCAGTCAGGTTATAATTTAATTGATAGGTAGAGATAGATAAATAATATCGTTTATACCAATGAATAAGCTTTATTGGTCTGAGTTTTATCTCACAATTGAAAAATCAGCCCTTAATGATTAACTTTACTAAGAAAAAATTGATAAAGATCACAGACATAATGTCAGTCAATTTTTTATTTTTTATTGAGCAATAGACAATAAACCAACTAGTCAGTACATTATTTAAAACTGCCCTTAAATGTACAAAAATATTATGATTTATATTTATTTTAAATGTAAATATATTATTAATAAACTCGCTACATATTCTAATTTGTTTTATTCTTTCATATATAAACTATATACCATACTATTCTCTCAATATGCCTTATTATTTAGTTGAACATATTATATCTACTCGTAGAGATATTTGCAATAGTTGCTACTTGGCAAGCAGGTTGGCAACTGTAGTTATTTTTTTCACTCTGCTGCCTATCTCCTAACTTGTTTCCCTCTGTCGCATGTTACGGACACCCATGGCAAGACGTGGGGTAGTGGTCATTCTTACACCGTCATTACACGACAATGTATGAATCTACGATAAATCTATGGAGGAGGCATACATTCAGCAGTGGACTTTAAATACTGTAACAGTAATGGTATCTACTATCTTAGCGAGTAATGCATTCTACAAATGTAATCACAACTCAAGCCACTTATTTGTTATAGAGCTACCACGGACAGTACAATCCCTGAAACCTTTCATAACATAAGTAGATTGATACCAGCTCATTGTGTTTGTTGATTCAATTTCAGTGTAATCTTCTTTTGGCAGATCACTGTCATTTTCACTTATTTTTAAGTTAACTAGATTTTTATTTATAACGTCATTATTATATACCTGAAAATCTTTACAACATGACAGATTTTCTTGATGTTGAGTCCTAAAATCTATAACAACAACTTTAGAGTTCCTTGGCAGTTTATAACCATTGACAAATACAAAACTGTCAGAACAGACCAAATCTTGACTGCATACATTTCTTTTCTTTATGAAAACGTACAGGTTTGTTGGTGGTAATGTATTATAAAGCACTTTGCTCAACACATCTGATGTCACTAACGTCCTGAAATGAAATATTTGAACATTATTTAGTTTAACTTGTTTCATTTCAGTTTTTTTTTTTATTTCAGAGTAATTCATGAGCATGGGAGAGTATTTGTTTCATTATTATGAGGCTCGAAGGACCACTGATTGATTCAGATGTTGGTTTAGTTAATTTAAACTCTTAAATATTGAAGAAATTTCTCAATAACTTATTTCAAGTATATGAGGAGCTAGAATGGCAACTACTACAAACTATTACAAAAAAACAGAATAAGAAAACCAAAAGTGGTCAATCCGCCTTGCGAAGAGTGGATAAACGAGGGCCTCATTGCTTTAATAAATAAAAGGAACCAACTATGGTACAGCTTAAAACAAACATCTGAAGATGAAAATTTGAGAACAGAATTCATAAGACAAAGAAAACACACTTTTGCAAATATACAAACAACTAAAAAACAATTTTATCATAAGGCTTTCACAGATTGTAAGAAATGTCCTTTAAAAATGTGGCAACTAATTAATAGAATAATAAGTCATTTTGGAGACCAATCTTAAAAATCAATACCCCCAATGGTCAAATCTCAAATATTAAAGAAATTTGTATTTTAAAAGATTAAAAAAAATGGCCCTGAGCTTGCAAACAAAATACTGCAAAAATACCATAAAACTTTACACAAACACTGTCATACAACAAACCTAAAAACAACAACACTGAATTATCAAAATTAAACCCAACAACCGCAGACAAGGTACAGAAATTAATAAAAGACCTAGATTCTAACGCTAGTTCCGGTTTAGATGGCATGAACACAAAATCTTTAAAGTGTATTAAAGACAATATAGCAAAAACCTCACAATTTGTATTAATAAATGCTTAAGTGACGGCTATTTTCCAAATAGCCTAAAAACTGTAAAGGTTAGTCCTATTTTTTATAGCTGGAAGCAAACAAGACTCAAACAATTATCGACCAATATCGGTACTTCCGGTAATGTCGAAAGTATTTGAAAAAATACTACATCATAGAAAACATACAACGACTATATGACTACCTGACTTCTATTGATTCTATTGATTACCTCTATAAAAAGCAATATGGGGTTAAAATAGTCATTAAAAAAAATACCAACAAGGAAAAAATGTACTTATTATTAAGCACTTCTTTTATAAAAATAAAAGTAATAAGTTTATATACTTTGATATTTATCGTATTAAGCTGCCTTATCAAACTAACACAATTGCATACTTCTTTTAGCCACAATTTAGCCTCATTACATAATACAATTGTTTTCATTTTCACATACAGCCTTGGAGCCGTGGTAGCTCAGATGGTTTCTGGTTTCTGGTAAATTTCACAATATGCGAGCAAACCGGGTTCGATCCCTACCGGCACCATTGTAATTGTTAATTGCAATTATAAGTGCTGATTTACCACATGCTCGATGGTGAAGGAAAACATCGTGAGGAAACCTGCATGTCTGAGAAATAAGAAAAAAAAATATTTTGATGACATGTGAAGTTCGCCAACATGCATTGGGGCAGCGCGGCGGACTATTCCTTGCCCTAAAACCCTCTCAGAAATTAGAGAAGGCCTGTGCCCAGCAGTGGGACGTATATAGGCTGTAACTTTACTTTATAAGTACAGTCTTGGAAATACTGGGATTCTGTACGATCAGAAATTAGCAAATTCTGAGATAACAACAATCCTGTGGAATGGATTCACTATGGATATCCAAGCCATTGCTACAAAAGCCCTCATGTTGACAAAGTGTTGCCTTTGTTCACGGGAAATTCCCTGATACTTAACAATTTTAACCTCTTGACATTGCCTAGTGTTTTGCCACATTTTATTAGTTAAGGCTATCGGGAAGAACAAATTAACTGAATAAAACTTACTTAAAAACACTCCTATGAATTTTCTGATCAGATGCTATGCATGGAGAATGGCACTGTGGTTTATGACACATATTTGGCAAGAGAAGCCTATAAACTTCTTTACATGTAACTGGAGTACCTCCAAGGGCAATACAAACTTCTTCTGGTATAGATGGACCATCAATCTCTTTTAATAGAATCTACAAGATGAAATTAGAAAAATTTTGTCAAATCATGTAAATTTTTTAAAAATCATTATTGTGACTATTTTAAACAGTTTATCAGTCTCACTCCAGATCAAGTCCACTGCTAGATATGGACCTCCCACATTGTAAGCAATATTTGTCTGTCATGGTAGACTGATTGACGATTGAGTACCAGACATGTGGCACCAACGAGTTGGTTATACAGCCATTTGTTGGAAGTCATAAGATTTTCTGGCATATTCCTTAGTCACCTCTAACTATACCCACAGAAAAAAATTGGGTTGAGGTTATGGTTGTAACAGAAATGGATCGGCTAGACTGGGGAAAGAATAATCTTTCACAGAATACTAGCTTAATTTAATTCCATTAAGCATTATGGTACATCAATTTAGACCAAAAATGTAATGCAGGAAATTAAAATCAACTGGTATAACAAGCAAATACAATATTAATGAAGTTACAGTAAGCATTACCTTGATCATAAAGTCCAAATTATCCAAAGCGTTGGAAGCTATACGAAAAAGTCTCTCCGACTGGAATGTATCTTTTTTATCTTGACACATCTTTTTTTTATTTACAACCTGCTTGAGCCAATGGTATGTGTATGGTATCTGCAATCTCTGATACGCTAGAAACTTTAATAATTCAACTACAATGTGACCGCAAGCGACAGACGTGAGTTGGTCACCGATATTTAGATCTATCATTACTGGCGCTAACGAATTCATGGTACAATTATTTAATTACCAACACAAGTATCAAAAAGAAAATAAGCTTCTATTTACTGATACGCAAAACAAATTTTAAAACACTGCGTAATAGAATTCTGTGATATAATCAAAGAATGCAATAATGCAAAGGAAGATAGAATGCGTAAAAAAAAAACCTTTATCAAATTATTAAAATGTTACGTGCAAACGTTTTCATTGGTTTGTTTTAAAAAGAATAATTTAGTAGTACTACAATAAAGTAAGTACGACAAGTTTCAATTTGTAGTTTGTAGCGCTAACGCCTAACGAGCTTTTTGCTTTTAAATTTAAACCGTAGACAGAGAATCCACAGGCCACAGAGTAGTGATGTGGATCTGAGATTGATTAATCGAAGAATCGATATATTGTGCCAAAAATATAGATTTTAGTCGATACAGTACTGAATCGATCAAGTGAATCGATATTTAACCCTAGAAAATCGAGATCGAATCTTTTTCTGTTTTCAAAAAAACTACAAATTACTAACAATAAGTTGAATGTACACAAACTCGTAAAGAAGGACAGTTTTTCTATTCAAAAACTAGCAAAACTGTTGTGTGCTCAGTTTCTTTCGCCTCTTATTAATAGATTTAAGAAATAAAAAATAACTTAAGTATGTAATCCGTAAGTACTTTGTACGAATTTGAAAGCAAATCGAAAAAAGATCGATTTTTGAGAAGTCGATACTTTAGACTTCGATGGTTTTGTGAAGTGATTCATCAGATTTCGATTCAAATCGATTTTAAAATCGATCTTTTTGGAAAGAATTGACATCACTATCAAAGAGTACTTTATAAACCATGGAGTATAGAGGTAAAGAGGACAATCTCCCAGACGTAGACAAAGAAACCTATAAACTAATAATTAACGTGGCCTCGAGTGAGAAAGGACGATAACGTAGTTTTAGGTTATACAATAATCTTTATGACTTTTAAACATATTTATATAAAAATTTAAATTGTTCTAAGAACTGAACTGAACAAGATTCACCAATCTTAAGCTCACAAAACACTTTTTTCTCACTTAAACCAACTTGTAAACTCCTTAGATCGCTACGAACTGTCAAAGTTCTTTAGCAAAGCGTAGTTTGCTAAACAAAAAAACCGGCACGGAGAAAGGGGCAAACAATCACACCGCTCTGTCTCATTTCTATGCAATACATATGCATAAATCTATCTTTTACGTGTGCGAATACTAAAGAAGGCGTCAATTTGTCTATAGGTTTCTCTGTCTACGCTCCCATAGGAGAATAGTTGAAAAAGTATCCATCTGTAAGCAGTAAATAACAATTCAAAAACTCTTCACAACAGCGCTCGAGTACGAGCTACAGGGTATGATAAATCGCCGTAAAATACGTTGAGAGTGATTTTGAAAATAAAAATTTTGAAAGCAACAAAATAATTATTGTGAAAAAATTATGGTGAAAGTCTTTAAAATCTAGATTGTAGCTATAGTGGCGCCACACTTATTTAGCGCTTTCCTACGGACACTTGTTAATACAGTCTGTACTCCTTAACAAAATCTACACTCCATATTATAAACGTTTATAAATACACACACAACGTTCATATATACACATTCTTTCGTAAAAAGGAATCTACCTGAAATTTGAACTAGTGATGGGACTCGAGCCGTGTTCCACTCGAGTCACTCAATTTTTGATTTGATTTTACTTGCACTTGAGTAATATTTATGACCACTCGACATTACGACTGACTCGAGTCAACTCGAATGTCTCCGACCACTCGATTGGTCGGTACCAACTTGAGTAAAAAATTCAAGTTAAGACAGGTTTAGCCGATGTATCTTCCATTTGAAATTAAGTACGAGTGAGTGAGTGTGTTGTTTGTATTTAGTAAGATGTTTATTTAATTTTATTTGCAAGTTGTGCAAGACAAAGCATACTACCAACTTGATTTCTCATAATATGAAGATTAAACATCAGATTCAGTATTAAGATATTAGGGGTGAGTCAAGTTCATCTCATGCGTGTTCTTCAACTAGTGAAGGAGAAAGTTCTGCTTCTACGTTTGCCGATTCGAATTCTGCATCAAAGAAACTGCGTTTTCAGCAACAACGGCTTGCGAGACCTAATGCATAACTTACAAGCAGAAAAAAAAAAGATATTAGTTCTAATCAAAATGATTTATTAACACTTACAATCTTTACAAATTGTGGAAAATAAAAGTTTTATAAGTTTTTGACAGGCGAGTAACTCGTTGAAAAAAAAGTTACTTGAGTTTGATCTTCATTCGAGTGGCATTCGAGGGTAAAACTATATGCCCCATTTACACTCAGCCACTGCCACTGCTCCTGTCGCTGCAAGGAATATTTCCCTAAATACTTCTGTGGCAATAACAGCCCGAGTTGGTGTTTACAGTTTACACTCAGCATTCATACTTCTTTATTGATCCCATATTACCCCATCAATTTCATAAAGTTCTAAAATTTTTATATTTTGATCATTACTAAATATTATTAAAATACAGCATATAACACAGAATAAACGAATTGTCGTTTTTAAACGTAGCACCTTTTCTCTCGGTCGAAATTCGGCGGCAAGTGAGCGAAAATGTAAGCACTCGCTGCCACTCCCGCTGCCCGTCCTTTGACTTCCGCGCGAAAACCGACAATCTAGGGAGCGCCGGGCAGTTGCAGCGGTATGGGCAATGACAGCGCGAGTAGCCTTCCCTGCCCAACAAGGCTGAGTGTAAATGTGGTAATAAACATCCGGTACTTGGGTACGGTTATGGGGGTGGGAGTGGGTACAGGAGAAGCCCCCCCCAACCCTACCCCTTTTGTAGAAATGTATAGTTTATGAGTAATGATTTTTTTTATAAAATCATAACCTCACTTTTACACAGGAATATTGACCCAAAATTACTTCTGCAACAGCTTCTGCGCTGTGTGGAAGTGCAGCTCCTTCGCCCTTGCGTAGTGAATTGCCTGTACCCGTGCAAGCCATAGCAGCTGCGGCTGGTCGCCGACGGCGACAAATAAGCCAATGCCGCAGAGGAGAGGCGGGCAGGGGCTGCTGTCCCTCCGCGCCTACGGAACTATAAAACACTCTAGGGGTAGGATAGACAAGACTAAATGTAGTCGGGGCGTGCTGATTCGGTTTTAGAACAGATTCGACCAATTTTATTTATAAAGTCAGGTTACCCTAAACTCTGCTGTGATAGTGGTAAATGAAACAATCTAATGTGAATTGTTATAATTTTGTTTTCTGAAAAACCTCTTGGCTGCTCTCCACTGCAACTCAATTTGTTGTATATGAGTCCCTTCATCAGCCTCAAATGGATTGCCTAGGTCTTAGTGATTAACTTTTTATTGGGTGCATCGCATTAAAAAATACAAATTGACATATTCGCGTTTTGTTATAAGCAATTTTTATTGAAATATATTTTTATCGTAATTAATCCAAAACACATTTCTAACATCTAAAAATAGTGTAATAGGTTCAAGCATAACCCTAACAAGCCTCTTAAACTAAAAACATTATTAAAATCAAGTACCGGACGTCTATAGCCAACCCCACTCGAGTTACTAGATTATTATTGATGAGTGACTCGCTCGAGTGAAAACAAGTCACTCGAGTTTTATCTTTATTCGAGTGGCACTCGAGTGACTAGGTTATTATTGGCGAGTGACTCGAGTGAAAACGTCTCACTCGAGTACCATCACTAATTTTACAACCATCATAAACTAGTGATAAGTCAACTTGACATATTAATTGAAATTAATTCGAGTTGCGCTCAAATCGGGTTAAGGGCAGAATTCATTCATCATACATATACATTTTATACCGATTGGGTACGACATTTATGCAATAAATGAAAACACATACTTGTTATCGGCTTTACTGACGATATACAAAAAATGAACGAAATCGGTCCAGTAATTAGGTCAAAAAGCAGTGTCTTAAATTTAAGCTAATTTGAACTCTCTATAAAATTGGGTCTCTAGGTGCCAACCGTAAGTATCATATTAGTCTGTGGTGCCAACTATCACGACGTGAGACTACGTTCGTCGACAGCGGTGTCTATTGGTGGTGCCTTCAAAGGTGACGGAGCACGCCTGTGTCGTAGAATAGGACACCTGTTATCGACCATTAGCTTCTTTCAAAGGGAGTAACGATCGATAAAAAAAATTATGTTTAGCTTTAGGTACTTAGGGCATAGTGTTTTTAGAATTATCGTGCTGTTACGATAATTCTAAAAACATTACGAACCAAGTATTTAAAGCTGAATTCTAAAGCTTTTTTGTTTAAGTGTATTTTTGTTGATTTAAAGATAATAAATTGTTTTGACATGATAAGAAACGCATAAAAACAACCTATTGAAAAAGTCATACCTACTTATCCATTTGCTAGGTAGTTTCGTAATTTCATTCGTACACAAATAAAATATTTTAACCAATCAATAGTTCGTCAATTGTTTTAAAACAAAATTACTTGTATTCAAATGCCTTGTTTAAGTAGTAGGTAAGTAAGTGTAAAAAAAAGTATCGATAAACAATAATTACGTGCGTGCGTTCGTGCGCGCGCGCGCACGCACTGATAGGGCGCTATGGCTTCCGCAGGTGGCCAGCGTTCGCCCTGCCTCACTCCTCTAAAAATAAAATGTACTCAAAGATTTCCGAAACCGAAGATGAACTGCGCAATTATATTGTCGCCGCTATGGAGTGTAGAGATAAGGATAACAAACTCCGTAAAAAAAAGTACCCTTAGAAAAGCGCTGGCGCCACTGTAGCTAGAGTGTAAATTTTAAAAACTTTTAATATTTTTTATTGCACAGACTTTCACCATAATTCTT